TCTACACACCCACGTGGTCCTTATGTGGGCTCTGTGCAGGGGCGGGGCCTTCTCCCTCTGTAGCAAAATTAGAATCTTTGTCACACATAGTCAATAAGCAATTAGAATATGTGATTGAAAATATATCAGTTCAGCCGAAACCGGTTTGGTTCAATGGATAGAGTGTCGGCTTGGCTTGGGGACTAAAGGTCCCGGGTTCTATTCTGGTCAAGGGCATGTACCTTGGTTGCGGGCATATCCCCAGTAGGGGATGTGCAGGAGGCAGTTGATAGATGACTCTCTCATTGATGTTTCTAACTCTCTATCCCTCTCCCTTCCTCTCTGTACAAAATCAATAAAATATATTTTAAAAAAGAAAATATATCAGTTCAAACTTTAATAATCTTTTTATTCATGTTCTATATTTTTTAGATGACTATTTAATAAAAGTCCAATCTTCTGCAAGAAAATAAGTTTCAGTTATTTATTGGGACAATTTCTGGTCTCATACTTCCTCAACAGGCCCAAATTTTGGTGCTGTCATATTATTTCACCAATAGTCCTGGCATGTGTGCTCTGAGGTGCTGCCTCAAGTTTCTTCAATTAAGTAGTAAAAATTCATTGTTCCAGGTCACACTGGAAGAAAGGTGAAGAGGCAGAATAATATGCCCATATTTAATCATGTCTGTTAAAAATTCAGTACATCTTTATAGCACATCGATGTATGAAAAAGCCTCAGATCAAATTTAAATGACACACATTAGTTAATTGTGGTTACCTTTGAAGAGGGGACTGAATTTGGAGGAAAGGGGAAAATTGAAATGTATCATCAGTATTACTAGAAATTTTGTATCAAGACCATATGTACTATTACTTTTTTATTAAAATATTTGAATACATGTAATCACAAAATTGTAGATGTGCATTAATCACAAAAAATAACTGCTAGCTAGTGTATCAGACAAGGTCTGCAAACTTGCAATGGCTAAAAATAATAAAAGTTTATTTCTCATGTACATAAAAACTGATATGGAAAAAAAAAAAACCTGATATGGCATCTAGTCTACTCCTATCAGGTGGCTCTACCTCCCAACAAGGAATCTCTGTGTTTGCTGCTCAAAGGGACAGAAAACATGGAGGTGGCATACTGGCTTTCAAACAGAAACATTGTTTCTGTTCATATTTCAGTTTCAACAGTAGTCATTTGTCCCTTCCATAAATACAAGTGGATTGGGAATGTGTATTCTCCCCATCAACCCCGGGAGGAGAGCAAGACACCATATGAATTAGCAATTTCTCTCTCCCATAAACTGTTATAGTAGGTGTTCAAACAAAAGCAACTAATAGAATTTATTTAAAAGACCCTCTTCATTCCTTGGTGGACTTTCTAAGGAGGCCACTTTGCCTACAATTTTCCAATCCTGCTACATGGGAGATACTTTCAAATGCTGGATCACGTTTAATTTTCTAAAGAATACTGTAAAATATCCATAGGGAAGACTCACCTTTTTCTCTCAATAGCTCCTTTCTGCACTTGGAAATAAACTGTAGTGTGTCAATAGGATGAGAATGTTCTATTGAAGCATGGTCAAAACCTTGAGTCCCAGAAACACTCAGCATAACTGAATGTGCAGGACACTTATACAGATGTCATTAGAAACAAGGAGAAGGCAGCATTTTCCGCTGGAGCAAATACTGAGGTAAGAGGCAGCAGAAGGATGGTGAATTGTTTTAATCTTTCATTTTCAAAGATAGCATGCCTGTTAAGAAACCATTTTTACTGTCCCAGAAGAACTCTGGGTTCTGAGGAATTCAGCTTCAGTAGATGTTTGTTACACAATGATTTCCATGGTCTTTCTTCATCTCTGACCTACCAGGAAGGCATTGGGTATTGACCTTATAGGTATGAACTCATTGGCATATGGGTTCAGTGGCCAGTCTCAAATAACACACCGTTTTAAAATCCTACTGATAATATTTGGGTTGTCTAACTTCAATTACCAGTATATTCTGTAAGAAATAATACTGTATTTACCAGCTCATTTGGAAAATACTTTGAAGAGTGATGTAGAAATGGGGGTGGGAGCTGGGGTTGTGGTAATAAGTTATCTAGACTTCATGTCAATGGTCCCACTGAGAGGGATATATCTCTAAGGTACACTTGCAGAGAGTTGGAACACTCTAGTCACAGGGAGGGCAGGTGATTCTGGACTGCCTGCATTGCAGGAAGTAGGGTGCAGCCTCCAATGGACACAGGGAAGAGTTGGTCAGTATATGAGGTTCCAGTTTGGAAAGAAGGTCACACTGGGGAATCCTTAGGGGGGAAGTTCTGCAATGTAGGAACAGACTGTCACAGGACTTGTGCTAGCATCTGGAAGGGTTGGCTCTCAAGGGACAAGGAAAAGAAGGATCCTCAGCAAAAGAAGCCCATAGACAATCTTAAAATTGTTCTTTTTTTTTTTTAGCTGCTCAGAATTTTAGTTTATTTTATAAACTTAGCACAGTATGCAGAATTAGATTTCTTTTTAAATTTAGGGTGTTTTTCTTTTCTATCAACTATTTTTTTTCTTTTTTTGAATTAATTATTTTTAAAATTTCTTTATTGATTAAGGTATCACATATTGTCCCCAACCCTCCATTCCAATCCCCCACCCCTTTCCAGTCATACCCCTACCCCCCTATTTTCCTTAACCACTGGTTAGGCTCATATGTATGCACACAAGTCCTTTGGTTGATCTCTTATTTTTTTTATCTGAAGTTTTACATATGTCTCTTTTTTCCCCAATTGACTCCCCACCCCCGCCAACCATTCCCATCCCAGGCAAGCCTCCAATGTCCCAGTGTCTGTGTCCATTTAACTTGTATGTATGCATATTAGCATAACCAACATTGTTCTTTATTCTCATATTCACCTTTTTTCATGAGGACTGGTTTAGTATTTTTGTAGGAAAGTCTTGGTGGAGCGGAAAGTTTTGATTTTTAATAGCATATGATACATCTTGGAGTGATGGAAAGAATAGATAATGAAGAGATAAGAAGTTGGCCTCAGGCTTAAGAAGTGGAAAAGTGTGAGTTCTAGAAAAAAATTGTACTGGGATTGTAGTCCCAGCTCTTTTACTTATCAGCCATGGGAATTTGAGAAAATTCCAAGTCTTCATCTGCAAAGTATGTATAATAAGCCCTATCTTGTAGGACTGTTGTAATATATGCAATGGACATAAAGCACTTGTCAGAGTAATTGGAACATATTAGGTATTAATTGAATGACAGTTATCATATGATTTATTGTTATTATTATTTTTACCACAGATGATACCACCCTCCCCTCAGGAGATGTCAAAAAAGTGTGCAGCTTTCTAAAACAAATAACACAAAATTCACCCGTAATGCTACTTAGCAAGCAAAACAAAATTAATTTCCCCCTTTGAGGATGAGTTACTTAATTTGGGTTCAAGGGAGTCTTCTTCAGTTGGATACGATTCAGAGGTCCTAGAATTTGTGTCAAGGACCAACTGCTTCCCTCCCAGGTGCCTTTTCATCCACACCATTCCTTTTTTCATTCATCACCACCAGATATGGAGATCTCCCTTGGGGTTTGCAAAATTATACTCAAGTTAACCTAATTAAAATATTTGTTTCTCTCTCCCAGTTTAGGGAAAAGAGAGCCAACACAGTAATTTCTCAGCATCCCACTTCCAGCGACTTTCACTCTTATTTCTCAGGAATCCCTTAAATACTCTGTACATAAAACACCTAGATTGTGCCCTGCATTCATTCAACTGCACTCAAGCATGAGCACAAGCACGTTCCATGTCTACCCCAGGAGGAGGTTTTCCTCTGGTTTACTGATGATGATACTGAAGTAATTCTTAGGAGCAGCTTTCCTTTACAGGGTTTTGTCCTTCAACATTGAGAAACACCATGTTTCAGTCTGGCCTCTGTTCACCAAGTCCAAAGCCTCATCTAGCTTACAACCCTGAGCAAATTAACAGAGTACTCATTGAGGGACTTGTAATTTCCCAAAGCCCACACTGCCTTCCCTCAGGGACTTTATACCTTGTCTTCATCCAGATAACCTCCCCTTTACCTCCCACTCCTTCCCTGCCTCCCTAACTCTTTTCTCCTTCTTACTTATCCTTTAATTCTTAGAGGCTATTTCACCATCTTTCCTATATCATTACTGCTCCTTGAGTGTGAAATTCTAAGGGCAGGGTGTTTTGTATCCTAGTGTTCCCATTTCTAACAGGATTTTCAAAGAGCAGTTGTTCAATTAATATTTGGGAAATAAATGAGATTGTAAACATGAATTCTAGTTTATAAACATTTTATTTCTCCTATATTATTTAGTAAGCTAAGAAAATCCAGATATGTAGCTTTTATTTTTATAGAACAGCAGACTAAAATGAATAAGGGAAACCAAAAACTGAACATCTTTTATTTTCCCCCCTCTATTTTTTGATCCCAATAATTTCACTGCTCATATTTTTCACAGTACCGTGGAAATACCTATTACAATGCCATGTTTTGTTGTTCTGGTTCAGTAAATATGAAAGGTTTCCCCAATTTGTTTTACAAAATAATAAAACTCATAATCTTAAATCTATTACAAGAAATAAGCATGTAACTAAAATCATTAGTACATTTAGATTCTGAAATGATTTAAACCTTCTGTTAAAGAATCAACATTTAAGATGTAACAAAAGAAAGAAAGAAGAAGAAAACTCTAAGGTTTACCACACTCAACAGAAATACTGTGTTCGTTCCAGATCCACCCTGGCCATCCACTACTTAGAATGTTGACTGCTCTTTTCTTCCGCAAAGAAAGCGATCTGCCTCAGACGTCAACATTTGATATATAACCTAAAATAAACAAACAAAACAAAACAAAGGTAAAATTCCAAGTTACCAACATACAATAAGAACACAAAGATGATATACACTTTCCAGCTCCAGTCTGGCTCTCCACTATTAGGACATTGACAAACCTATTCAAGCAAAAAGTGAAGGACTTGCCTGAGACTTCACTTAGTGTGGGAAGAGCTGATGGCCATGCCTCTGGAGTGTGCAGTCATAGCAATACGAGCCCTGGCTGCAGCTCTTGCTAGGGCTCTCTCTTCCTCATCTCGCAAAGCCTCTTCATACCAGACTGGGAAGGCACTGGGGACAGTATCATAGATCTTGGCTAAGAACTCCAGGACTCTCATCTTGCTGGTCTCAGCGTGGGCTCTTGGACCCCAAAGCAACTCATAGCGTGGAGGATCACTGCCTGGCACCTGGCGGTACTCCAGGTACCTTAGCTGCACCAAATCTTCAGTGATGACCTTCTTGGGCTCCCCATAAATTAAGTGCTTTTTATCAGCATAGACACCCATCATATTCATCACTTCCCAGATAGCTTCCTCAGGAGCACAATTGCCTTTCATGAAGATCACACCCAGAACAATCATCAGGAGGCCAGTCTTGGGCAGGTTCTCTTCATTTGTCATTCCATCTAAGGTGAGGTCTAGCTTGCTGACAAGGGCATAGGAGTGTCTTGCGGGATCCACTTCTTTCACATCAATACCAAAGGCCAGCTCCATGTGCTCAGAGGCTCTTCTCAGGATCTCATTGAAATGAAGCTTGTATTTTTTGATAACCAACTTCAGCATATCTGCCTTTGTAATTGGCTCTTTACTTTGATACTTCTTCAGCATAAACTGCACCAACAGAACCACCTTCTTGTTTAAAGGATCTTTGCGAAAGCTCTCCAAGGCCTTTGAGGATTCCTCATCTTGTTTGCTGGCACCTTCATTTGAATCAGTGCCTGAATCAGCTCCAATAGTAGCACTGGTGCTAGATGGGATTTCCTGAGAAGTGCTAAGCACCTCAGTAGCAAACTCATTCAGGGGGTTGCCTTCCAGGAAAAGATGGGCAGAGAAGGAGAACTCTCCTTTCTCTGCTGCAATAGCCTCAGCACCCTCCAGACCCTGGGTCTGGGTCTTAGCATGGGCCTGGCGGGCCAGGCGGCGTTTCTCACGGGCACGGAGCTTACTCTTTTGACCTCGAGGCATGATGAGACAGCAGGTAGGAGTTCAAGCAATTAAGTTGATAAACAGGTCACCCTAGAAGACAGAAGAAGAGATGATGTGCATAGTCCCAGTAGGGAGATTCTACATTGGCTCCAAGAAAAGCTGCCTCTGCTTGGTTCCATTAAGGGTACTGTTTAAGGAAGCCACAAGACAGTGGCAGCAGGGACTCTGAGGGCAGGGGGCTTGTTGCCTCCAATCTAACTCAAGATATTAAACTTTGCTCCTGACCAGTCTTTTGACTCCTCCTTCTGCTAACTTGAGGCTTTCTCTTAAGAACAAGGCTTCTTATCCCACCAATTCCTTAAGTGAAGGTGAGGTTCATTAGGCCTAACAGCCATGCTTGAGACATTTGAAGGACACAAGGGGCAGGGTGGGGCAATGTCATAGTAGGGTGAGCTCTGTGGGCTGAGGGCCTCAATTCAATAAATGTCACTCACCTCCACACCTCTGTGGGCTGAGGGTCACTCACCTCCACACCTAAATTTAGGGCTCCACCCTTTACTGACTTTAGGCTATATACCTCTGACCAAAGCCGTAAGCTCCAGAGCTCATAAGGCAGAAGTCAGAGAGAGCACTTCCGGCCACTCCCACTGGGCTTCCTACAATAAGCTCAGAGGTAGGGTTCTGGTAGTGGCATGTTCTCTTTGTTCTGTGGGGAGAGGAATCATGCAGAAATCACACAGGTGTCTTTTCTGACTCCTAAGAAGGCCTGGGACTTTTTTCTCTGGGAACTTGAGTGAGTTGGCCTCACACCAAAACTCTCATTTCTCTAGGAACTTTCAATAGGAAGCAAGCAGAAAATTGAGCCTAGTAGCTGCTTCTGGGACATCCCAAGACTGACAGTAGGGAGGGGCTCCTTGTGCCACCTTATTTTGAGGTGGGTTCTCTTCTCAGTCCTCACTAAGTGTCTTCCTTGATGCCTTGTATAGACTGAACTACCACTCATCTGCTCATGGGATGTAAGTCACAAATATGTAAATAACTTAAGGACAATTGACATCTGTACAATATTATATTCACCATGAATAAATACAGTAAGTATATTGCTCTATTAAAGATTCCTTTTATTTGTCTATCTGAAATACTTTTATATTTGCTTCCATAAAGATCATGTACACTTTTGTTAGTTTTCTTTTTATGTATAGTTTGTATATTGCTGCTATTTTCAATTACATTTTTTTCATTACACATTCTAGTTAGCTATTTATTTTGTGTGGTAAGACTCCTAATTTGGCTATAATCATCTTTTCCATCAGCTTCCTGAAGTTTCTTATACATTTGAATATTTGGTAGCCACTTTATTTGAAATATTTAATTACTAGTAGAAGATCATATTATCTCTTTCTTTTCATTATTCATGACTTTTATTTAATATTCCTGTGCATGCTGTACACTACCTGTGCAATTGTGTCCAGGTTTAAATAGTAGAATTGGTAACATAAATTTATGCACTGCTTGGACTTTGTTGAAAAATGTGTCTAACATTTCACATGCATACATGTTTGATATTGATTTTAAAATATGGAAATTCCATTCTAATGTTTTTAAAAGCTATTGCCATGATGTGAGGTTGAATTTTTTATCAAAGATGTTTTTTTTCTTTATTTCCACATATGAACAAATGCTTTCTATTCTCTATTGGTTAACATAACGAATCCCAGTTCCCTTTGTTGGCAAAACCACTTCAGAGGTGATAATGAAATTTCATTAGAAGATATATAATATTGGTTGTTTTCTTTGTGTTGATGTTGGGACAGTTAGGATCACCACTGTCATCCAATAATTCATTAGTGACTGCTGAATTGTAACTCTCTAATTTTATCATTCCTTCTGAGATTATTGGCTGAGATATACCTATAGATAGACTTTCTGTTTTCCTTCATTTTTTTAAAAATTAAATTTATGGAGAGGAACCAGGATGGCTGCTCAGGTAGACACCTAACCACAGCAGCACACAACAATTTCAATGGAATACAACTAAAATGTAGAGTGGACATTGCCCAGAGCTACAGGTAGTTGACTGACTGAAAATTCTACAACAAGAAGGAAAGAGAAAACCAGGAAGAAAATCGGAGAAGCTGAAAAATCCTAAGATACAGAGACAAGCTGTGCACACGCACGCGCACACGGAGAGGATGCAGCTGGAGAGGAGGAGAAGGCTGGGGGCATGCCTGGAATTCTCTAGCAGGAAGGAAATAAAAACCCCGGCCTGGGCTGAACCCCAGAACCGGCAGCCCTGAACCCCAGTTATGGGCCAGTCCCTGGGGACCCAGGCTCGGGCAGGGGGAGACGGGGCTGTGAGGCGAAATCCCAGGGGAGCGGCGAAAAGCAGAGCCCCCGGGGTCGCACTCATTGCGCGCAGAGGACTGAATGTTGACTCTGATGCTGGATTCCCCAGGTGGGAAGAAACAAAACCTCCGACGGTGCTGAGCCCCAGTCCCGACGGCTCTGAACCCCAGTTCTAGGCCAATCCCTGGGGACCCAGGCTCAGGCAGGGGGAGACGGGGCTATGAGGTGGAGTCCTAGGAGAGAGGCGAAAGGCCGAGCCCCCAGAGTTGAGCACTTTGCACCCAAGGGAAGGAATGTTGACTCTGATGCGGGATTGCCCTGGAGGGAAGGAAACAGGAGCTAAGGCTGTGCTGGACACCAGTTTCGACTGCTCTGAACCCCAGTTCTAGGCCAGACCCTGGGGACCCAGGCACAGGCAGGGGGAGATGGGGTTGTGAGGCGGAATCCCAGGGGAGCGGCGAAAAGCAGAGCCCCCGGAGTCGCGCACATTGCGCTCAGAGGACAGAATGTTGACTCTGATGCTGGATTCCCCTGGCGGGAAGAAACAAAACCTCCTGGGGTGCTGAGCCCCACTCCCGACTGCTCTGAACCCCAGTTCTAGGCCAATCCCTGGGGACCCAGGCTCAAGCAGAGGGAGACGGGGCTGTGAGGTGGAGTCCTGGGGGAGAGGTGAAAGGCCAAGCCCCCGGAGTCACGCACATTGCGCGCATAGGACAATCTGTTGACTCTGATGCTAGACGCCCCCAGCGGGAAGGAGAAAAAAAGCTCTAGATTGGAGGAATGCGAGGAGCAGGAGCCCCTGCCGGACACCCGCAAGCCAGGCGCCAGCAAGGAGTTGGGCGACGGGGGCTCCTAGGGGGTGCCCCTGGGCCTTCGACCACTGAACGCGGGCCACGGAGCCGAGGGTGGGGGCTGCTTCCTGGGCGGTGCCGACCCCTGCAACAGGCTGAAGCAGCACAGGAGCCTGCAGAGAACAAAGGGGTGCCACAGGTCAACCTGCTGAGCTTCCAGGACAAGAAGGAAGAAACCAAAGAAATTTGCAATGTGAAGAAATCAAGTGAGAGCATAAGAGTAAAATTACTTAAGAAAGAATATAAAGAAGATCTTGAAAAATCGAAGACTAAGTCAGAACTCAACTTAGCAGCCAACATTGCAACATAAATGCATTTTGGTATTTTTTTGTTTTTGTTTTTGTTTTTAAAAAAGACAGAATGTTGGAATGGCGGCGGCCAGGCCTAGAGTGGCCAGGCACAAGGCAGTGGCAGCTGGGCCCGGAGCAGCAACGGCCAGGCCCCAGAGCAGCAGCAGCCAGAACCAGAGCATCAACAGCCAGCACTGGAGCAGCCAGACCTGGGGCAGTGGCAGCCAGGCCTGAGGTGGAGGCGGCTAAGCCCAGGGTGGCCAGTCCAGGATAACCCAGGCCCAGAGTGGCCGGGCCTGGAGAAGCTGGGCCCAGAGCAGCCGGGTCGGGAGCAGTCAGACCCAGAACATCAGCAGCCAATCCCGAAGCATCCAGGCCGGGAGATGCCAGGCTCAGAGTGGCCGGGCCCAGGGAAGCCGGACCCAGAGCAGCCGGGTCGGGTGCGGCCAGGCCCAGAGCAGCAGCTGCCAGGCTGGGAGCGGCCAGGCCCGGAGCGGCCAGGCCTGGAGCAGCCGGGCCCAGAGCAGCCAGGAGGGGTGCGGCCAGGCCCGGAGCAGTAGCTGTCAGGCTGGGAGCAGCCAGGCCCAGAGTGGCTGGGCCCGGAGCAGCCAGGTCAGGTACGGCAGTGGCCAGACCCGGAGCAGCTGGTTGTGGAACGAACCAGAGCAACAGAGGCCAGGCCCAGAGCAGCCAGGCCCGGAATAGCTCGCTCCTTGTCTGCCTCCCGCCCCAAGGCTGCCTCTCAGACATGGCTGGAAACTTTTGGGGGAACTTGAGTGACTGCTGAATCAAATGAGGAAGGCTTAGATCTGGATGTGTTGAGTTAGTATAGCGCTAGGGTGTTGATCTGTGAGTGCCTTGTGTGGGGCCTGGATGAGGTTGGTTGATTTATTGGGAAATGTCTTTTGTGTGAAGTGTATCCTTGTGCATGTGGAGGTATTATTGATTTGTGAAAATTTAAAGTTCTGAAAGTTTAAGGTCTCTTGCCAAAAAGAGGTTTTAAAGCTAACACCTTAATTTTTAAAAAAATATATTTTATTGATTTTTGTACAGAGAGGAAGGGAGAGAGATAGAGAGTTAGAAACATCAATGAGAGAGTCATCGATCAGCTGCCTCTTACACACCCCCTACTGGGGATATGCCCGCAACCAAGGTACATGCCCTTGACCAGAATCGAACCCGGGGCCCTTCAGTCCCCAAGTGGACCCTCTATCCATTGAGCCAAACCTTCCCGGCTAACACCTTAATTTTAATTGAGAAAGGGAATGACAAGCCCTTCCCACCCAGAACAGGTAATCCAATTCCAACATGTTTAAACAACGTGTCCATTTACACTTGAATGGCTACACCTTTTGATAGCCTAAGGGCAAGTTTACATGTAAACAAGTTTGCTCTCAATTCCCAGGGCAGAAAAAAAAACAAGATTTAAAATTATTAGATTTTAAAATTTATTCTTAAAAGTGTAAAAGTTTATTAATTTAAAAAAAAAACAACAACAACAAAAGGAGATTGAAAAACCTGATGAACAATAATAGCGGTTCATTGTAGTAGA